AGGCAGGCAGGCAGGCAGGCGGTGTCCTGGGGCCGCGTTTGATTAGTTCAGGTTGACAGTCGCGCTCCGCGGCGCTGCCGGGAGGGGAGCCTGATTACCCTAATGAAGCTTGAACGCAGTTTGTCATCCAAACAGCTGGTTCTGAGCTGCGCTGCTGCCAGCTGCCCAGCTCAGCCGTGCAGCCGTGTGCCCAGAGCCGGCCCTACTTCAAGCAGCCTCCACCGGCGTGACCACGCAGGGGGTGGCATCCCTGGGTGGGCTGTGGGACAGCCCCAGGGAATAGCACAGGCCACGAGGGGTGGGGGACTTGGCAGGTCCTTAAACAATTGGAGCAGGGCAGCTTTTCAGGACAGGACAGCCCCTAACTCTAGACATCGGTTTCTTCATCTATAGACACTGGGGACCTGGTGGTTCTGAGTTTCTGGTTTCAGATTGGGGTGTCACCTTCTCTGGGATTACTTCCCAGGCATTGTAGGCTGGAGCCGGAGCTTCCATGAGCACCTACAACCTTGTCACCCCTGATGGCCCCGCATTGTCCCAGTAGGTCTAGATAGTTGTGTCTCATTTGTTCACTGATTCATTTACTCACTCACCAGCTCTTCAGTGAGAGCACACAGTAGTGCTCATGCCGGTCACTATCCTGCCTTCATGGAGTTTGCAGTCTAGTGGTGGAGATTTGTGAGGCTTGAGCTCGTCTGGGAGGCCAAGGAGGACTTCCTGGAGGGAGATTCCTGTGGAATCTGAGCATAGAACAGCTGGAGGGGGAAGCCCAGGAAGAGTGATCCAGGCAGGAGGAATAGCACAGGCCGAGGCCCTGCAGGGAAGGAGAGGCAGAGCAGTGTTGTGCAGGGATGGGCAGCGTCTAGATAAACTGGGTGCATACAGCTTAGTTCGCAGCTAGTGCTGGGCAGGTTCATCCTTTTTTTCCTACTGGAGATCAAACTCAGGATCTTGTGCCTGCCACTGAGCTAAATCCCTGGCCCTGGACAGGTCCACTCTGATGGCCTCTCCTTCAGCCTTTTATTCCGTGCTATAGGTGGGGAAACCGAGGCCCACAACACGGGATGATATCTCTGCCGTATACCTGGTGGCCTGAGAGGCCTTGGGCAAAGGCTGTTTGCTTAGCCCATGGTAGAATCTGCAGGGAGCGCTAAGATGACGAAGGGGTGGAACTGGGACCCAGGGGCCCGTGGGCTCAGGCCCTGGTTAGGCACAGGTGGGGAGGGCAGCGGACTACAGGCCTGGGGCCCCCCCTGGGCAGTGAGTGGGTCTTCTGGTTCTCTGGGCCAGGACCTGTATCAGAACCTGGTGGCCCTGAGTCCATTCTGGCTTGGCCCAGGGCTGGCACAGCAGGCTTAGAAAGGGAACTTAAGAGCAGGTGAGGGTAGGGTAGGTGGACCCTGGCATGTAGTCCTGAGAGCCTCTGACCTCCCCCAGCACCAGCTCTGAGCCGTTTCCCTGCCTTTACAGCTACCGTCTGTGGCCACCGTCAACCCTCCCGTGTCCCTGTGGTGACCTCCTGGATGCTGTCCCAGCATATGGCTGCTGTGACCATCGCGTTCCCATTGCGCCTTTGGTCCTGTCACCTCCTTCTCCCATACTGTCCATGGCTCCCTACGATGGGCTGTCCAGCTGCCCCTCTGCACCGACCCTGCTCGCTGTCCTTACATTGCCCTGGAACAAGCATGGTCCCTTCCTGTTGGACAGGGGACTGTGGGGCCCTGGGTCCTGCACGCCTCTGTCCCGTGGCCATTGTCTTCTCCCAGCAGATGCAGGCAGACTGGTGCCAGACTCCCAGGCACTGGGCAGATGGGAGCAGCCCTTGCCAGCCTGAGGGCTGGGGCTGAAAGACGGTTACGCAGCGCTGCAGGAAGGAGGAATCCCTACCACTCAGCTCCCTCTGTATCACTGCCGTGTGCTGTGACTGCCCCGGAGGCGGCAGCTCTGGCAAGGGACTGGCTTATCACATCCATCCCCACCCCAGCCCTGTCATGGCTCTTCAGCAGGTGGGGTGATGGGAGCGGTGAGGACATTTCTGTCTCAGTGACTCAGGCTTGGGTTTGGGTGGCATGGGCACCTCAGCCCTCCCAAGCAGCAGGCAGGGAATGTGCCTGGGCCCCTTCTCTGCTGGGATGCTCTTCTCTGGCCTACGCTGTCAGGGCTTTCTTTAGGGCTTGGCAGAGGGGACACTGATGCTTGGAAGGCCGGCTAGACCCTGGCCAGGTACTAGGACCCCAGCTAAGCACTTGACATGTATCATGCCCTTCAGTCCACCCACACACACCCCTGTGAAGCTGTGTGTCCCCTCCCTCCATTTCACAGAGGAGAAACTGAGGCCCAGAGAGCCACACAACCAGGGAATGGGTGAGCGAGGCTTTGTTTTGGGGCCCCTGAGGCCAGGGTGGGGTCTGTAAGCAAGAAATAGACATAGGAAGGGGGCCAGGTAGATGAACAGGCTGGGCTTCGGGTGGGTTGAGATAGGCACTGTGCCGGAGAATGGGCCGAGCCCCGGGGGCTTGGGTGCTGCTGGGTCTCAGGGCTGAGCTGCCCCAGGGGTGGATGCCTGCTGAGATACCCCTCAGGGAGTCTGGGCTCCGCAGAGAATGGGGCAGGGGTGGGCTGGGAGACGGGAGGATTCAGATGAGGAAAGTCAAGCCTGACCCAGTGACAGGGCGCATGGGATGCTTCCAGAGGTGAAGGTGGTGTTGCCCCTGAGACCAGGGCTGCAGAGACTGAGGGAGGTCAGGAGGTTTCCTGGAGGTGAGGCCCAGAGCTGTGATGGGAGGGAAAGGTGGGATTAAGCAGAAATGAGCAACCATGTGCCAGGCTGAGGAAAGGCCCTGTGGTAAGGAGGCAGTGGGAGATGCTATGTGTGTTGGAGCCGGAGACCTGTGGGCAGAGGTGTGCTGCCTGAGGCCTTGGGGCTTGCAGGCAGTGGTCAAATCAGGTGTTAGATACGGGCTTTTGGGTTCGGGGAATCCCAAGGGTCCTCAGCCCCAGGCCTGGAAATCTCAGGGTTCACAGCCAGCTTGCCTCTTCTCCTGGCTACTGTCTTGGGTAAGGAAAGTGTTACCTCCGACCCTGTATTTCCCCATCTATAAAATGGGCTCATTGCCCCTCCGTCAAGGCCTGGCTGGGCGGTGTCTCCCACATTTCCTAGGGTTCCCACTCAGTCCCTAGGCCCAGATGGAGGTTGGTGAAGAGGCTTCTATCTCCCTGGCAGGTTGGAGAAGGTGAGTTCACGGCTGAGGTGAGGACTCTCACGGGTGCCCGCTGCTCTTTCCTGTGCCCTCTGGCACCAGCCCTCACCCGCTTGGGGTATCAGTAAGGGCTGTGTCCAGCAGGCTGCTCAGACACTGTACCCAGGGCTTGCCTGTGGCCCCATCATGTTGGTGTCAACCTCGGGTCAGATCTGGGGCTCAGTGAAGCCCAGGGTTCACTGGCACCTGTGCTGTACCCTTCCAGGTTGGGAGGGTGCTCGCCTCACATGCCTGTTGTGAGGGCTGGAGTCCTAGGAAGCACCCAACCCATGGTAGCCTTTAGTGCGTGCTCTCTGCTTCCTTGACAGGGCTGTGCACTTCTGGCTGCAGGTAAAGGTACTAAAAAATGCTCATGAAGGGAGACAAATGAGATGCCTGGCTGTGTGACACGGTCAGGCCGGTTCCTCTCTGGGCTCCTCTGTGGAAGGTAAGCAAGACTGATTCTGCCCCCTGAGCCCCCGAGAGACTGGGTGTAGCAGGTCTTTGCCAGCCCAGAGTTACATGCGAGTGAAGAAACTGAGGCCTAGTGAGGTGAGGTGCAGCCTGGGCAGCTTGGCAAGGAGCAGCAGGACTGGGGCTGCCACTGCTTGAGGGACTCTGATTTCAGTGCTCTCAGTGGCGTGCCCAGCCTTGCCCAGCACCTGGCATTTGAGTGCCACATGCAGTGGAGGTGCTCCCACCTGCAGGAGTGTGCTTCAGCCCCGGGTGGGTGTGGGGATATTGTCACAGGTTGGCTTCAACTCTGGTGTCTACGCATGCAGGAGGCTTACTGGGGGACACCCCCAGAATCACACCAGTGGGCATAAGGTGAGGAGAGATGTCAGGGGAGCCCTCCACCTGCGCAGGCTGCAGAGCTGTCCTGGGCCATATCCCTGCCTGTGTTGGTTGGTTGCTGTTGCCATTATCCTGGAGAGGGGGTTCCTTCTACTGAGGGACACAGTTGTGAGCCCCTGCAGCTGGGGAAAGTGTGTCTCAGTCGTGAAGGGGCCTGGGTGGGGCACAGATGTCCTGTGACATTTGTAATCAGAGCGAGGTAGGCACCGAATCTCCAGGACAATTGCTGTGAGGAAGGCAGTGATGGCAGCTGGCCCATCTGTTCCTGGACTCCCTGGTGCCCACAGTCACCATGCAACCCAAGCTTTGTGGCGCTGCCGCAGCTTCTGAACCAGCAGCAGCAGTCTTGGGGCCCTTCCTGTTGTGCCTTGTACCCTCAGCCCCTGTCTCCTGGTGCTTGTAGAACCCAGCCTCTGCTCCTGTCCCCTCCCGCTCTGTTCACAGCTCTGGAGGTCCTACAGCTTCTCCCAGAAGCCCTGGAGGGTGAGCATGTTTCCTGGCCCCCCACCCTCAGGGACCTTGGCTCTGGGTCAGCCCAGCTTTGACTCTGATCTGGACTGCGAGCTCCTTGAGGACCAAGACATCAGCCTCCCTTGTGTGCTGCCTGCCAGGGAGACCTGGAAGTATGCCCAATCCCCAGCTACTTTATAAACATGAGCAGAGTGAATGAAGTCTCGAGCCCTCTCTCCCTGTGCTGGAGTGACTTTCTGTGGAATAGAAGGCCAGGTTGGTGCCAGCCTCTCAGCAGTGCCTTTGGGGAGCCAACCAGTGTCTGTTGGGCAAGAAATGGTGAAGGTCTGTGACCATTAAGGGGGACTTGGCCCCAGGTTCAGATGATAGGAGGCTGCTGAGGGGCTAGCAGGTGGGAGGGGACAGCTTGGGACACTTTTCCTGGAAGTTTGAGCAAGCTGCTTCTCTCCTATACTCCCAGGAGGAGCGTCGCGTGCCTGACCCTGCCCACCCCAGAACAGCCAGAGGAGCCCATGGTGGCTGCTGTGCCACTGTGTTCTGCACACTGAGTATCCATGAACAGTGGGAGGATGCCCAGAGGCCCAAATGACTTGTGTTGGTTTGCAGTCTGCCCTTTCATCTGTCCATCTGTCTGTCTATTGAGCAGCTATTTCCTTAGTCCCAGCCTGCAGAGGATCAGGCCAGGGATAGGAGAAACATGGCCCTAGGTTGTGGCTGCCTCTGTCCTGCATTGACTGTCTGAGCCTGGGGTTCTGGTGTCCCTTTGTGCACAAACCTTGGGCTGCCCACCTCCCTGCCAGGACGTGGTGTCCTCTCCTGTCGGATGAAGTTCACAGAACTCTCTGGGTAGCTGGGAGCTCTTGTGAGACAGTGGCTGGAGAAGGGGTTAGCACAGCACGCAGTTCGGGCAGGTGGTAGACTGACTTCCTGTGTCTCTGCTGCTCGTCTCTAGGTTCCCTTCCTTTCCCCTTTTCCTGCACCTCGTAACTCGAGTGGATGTTGGCTCGTGACCGCTGCTGGGTTGTGTGGCTCCCTGACCTCCCTGTCCCATTCCCTGTTCTGTCCTCTTCCAGCCATAATGACAGCAGCAGCCCAGCAGCTTGCAATCCTGTGGCACCTGCATGGGTGCTTGGTGCCCTGTGTAATCCTCACAGCCACGTGGAGCAGTGGGTATGGGGCTTACCTCCTTTTACAAGTGAAACTGAGGCTCCAGGCTGAAATTCAAAGCCAGGGCCCTGGCTCTGGGTCTTGTGCCCCAAACCATGGTGCCCTGTGCTTCTCAGCTCAGCCCCTGTGATGCAACACAGTGTCACTTAGCCGACCAGCCCAGCCTCCCTCCTCCTCTGTCCTCTCCTGGAGCCTTGCACTTACAGCCCCTGAAATGTTCTCACATGTGGCTCAACTCAGCTGCCACCTCCTCGAGAGAACAAGCCTGGCTGACTAAGAGCAGCGCTCCCCTACTTGTCTGTCTCCTCGCTATCGTCTGTCCTCCCTGGACATATGGCTCTTCCCTGTGATGCTAACAGCTTGACCTGGGGACCTCTGAGGGCCTCCCAGCGCCTGTCCTCAGTACCCAGGCTATACCTGGCTGCTCCTCCCAGCTGTGCACTGGCACACCTTCTGCGGGCTCAGTCACCTCTACACTGGGGCCTGGGAGTAGTTTGGCGGGTGGTGGCTTTGACCTTTCACAAGAGGCCCAGGGCCGGGGATTTAGCTCAGTCGTTCTGCCGTCTGCCTCACAAGCATAAGGTTCCAAGTCCATCTCTGGTACCAAAAAGAAAAAAGAAAACAACATTTAGCTGGTGATTTAGCTCAGTGCATAAGGTTCCGAGTTTGATCTCCAGTTCCAAAAAAACAAGAGGTCCAAGGAAACTGAGCAAGGTGAGTGGTCTACATTTGAGTCCCTCTGGGAGTCTCCCAACTAACTATCCTTCATTCATTTAGAGCTGCGTTAGGAGCCTTTCTGCTGGCTCCATGCTCCAGGGTGAGGGAAGGCTCACCCTGAATGAGGTGAATGCCATCCTTACCTCTCCCAGTGCGGCGCCACCTCCTGCCTCCAAAGAGGAGTCCACTTTGGTCTCGTGGTCAAGGAAGGGACTTGTTACCTGTTTCCCACCATCTGGCCAACCCTGTCTTCTGATGACTGCCGAGAAGCCCTGAGCCTGGTTGTGCCAGCCTTAGGGGGACCTTGCGGTATGTGGGACTCTGCCCCATCAGCATCTTAGGTATCTGCTCCATGCCACAGCTGCCCTTCCTGGCTCTGAATCGAGCTCAGGACCTTGGAAGTCTTCACTGAGTGAATGGCTGTGTGCACTGTGACTCCGTTTTCCCTGAGTGCCCCTGCCTGTGTTTTGTGTTTCCTCAGGTTCTTTTTTGGGTGAGAGAGGAAACAATGATGGCAGTATTAATAGCAGCAGCAGTAATCACTGCTCCTCTCTACTGGGCCCGCACTATGTGCTGGGCATTGTTCCAGGCGTTTCTCACGTGTTGATTCATCTGATTGGTCCGGGTCTAGGAGGTAGGTGTTAGTACTCCTGTTTCCATGAATGTCTCCATGTTTCCTCTTGGAACAGAGTGAACCAGCAGTTTGCCCAAGGTCCTAAGGTTCCAGAGCTCCCAAGTATAGAGGTAAGATGTGTTCCCAGCAGGGCCCTGGGCCTGTTAATGTTGAATCGGTCATTACAGACAAGAATCCATTTTGTGGAAGAGGGAAGGGAGGGCCCTGGGAAGTGGCCCTGTGAGGCGTGCCTCTGTGGGCAGAGTGGACAGGAGTGCAGAGCCACATGTGCCCCGAGTCCTTCGTGTGAGCTGGGGTGAGAGAGGAGTGATCGGTAACCCTGGGGGCCCGGCTTGCAGGGCAGTGGGGCAGAGGTCTTGCCTCCCCTACAGGGGCCTCCTCGTGTCCCCAAAGGTGGCTGCATCCAGTAAGCCATGCAGCACGGGTCGCATGACCCTGTGCCTGCATCCCCTTGGGCTGGAAGGACTGTCCCTCGGAGCCTGTGTCCATCACAGAGAGGCCAAGGTGCAGTGGCCCCGGTCAGCCTGTGACCAAGACGGCCTCAAATCTATTCCCAGTCCTTGCTCCTGAATTGCTTGTGTGGTTTTTACAGTTGCTTGGGGAACCGTAAGTCTGCGTTGCCTGACTCCTGTGTATTTAAATTCTCAGGCATAATGTTATATTAACTCATTTTTTGCAGTTTCCTGGGAGGCTGTGTGTACATTACTGAGGCAGTGAGGGAGGGGAATGGCTGTGCCTGTGAACAAACAGCCGGGAGTGTGCCAAGCCCCAGGCACTGTCCTGGGGCTCCTGTCATCAGCAG